AGCGCTTGCAAGCAGGCACAGGGTCCAGGGTTTCAATCCCTGGGCCTGCTGTGCTGGCCCTTCCCCCACAGTGTGCTGGGACTTGTTATGGTGGTGTTCACCTGTAATCCCAGCTCTTGGGAGGCTGTAAACAGGTGGATCACTAGTAGTCTGATCTAGTAATGAGACCCTGAACACCCTGTAGACCCTTCCCTAAAATACAAAAAAAAAGCAGTTTCTGGATGTGACTCTGGGCTGGGGATGTAGCTCAGTGGCACAGCACCTGCCTGGAAAGCATGAGGTCCTGAGTTTGATTCCTGGTACAAAAAGAAAAAACCAAAACACCATTTCTTGGATGTGGCTCTTTCCCCAACTTGCCTGTCCATTATAGTGTTCATGGTTTGATTAGACATGCTTTAATTTCTTGGAAAATTATTTTGCCTAGAGACTGTCAAAATCCAAGTGATTATGCAGATGGAACCAATGAAAAATGTTCCAGACTCCTTTTCTGGGATCCACCAGATCAACCTTGTAGAGTTCCTAATTGCTAAACTACAACATGACTCTCTGTGAGGACCATTAGATTAGCTCTCTGAAGAAAGACCCTGACTACGTAGCTAGATGGAAACTACACCCCTTCTCCTCTAACTGCAGTTAGGGATGCCTTTTCAGAGGTAAAAATATTATAGACAGCTAAGTTAGGTAGAAATATAGTAGGCAGGCAGACAGGGCTGGGTCCTTGATGGAGTCAATGCAGGAGATGAGACTGCATCAGGACTGTGGCTGGAGTAATATCTGAAGGTTAAAGCCATTGTGGTCAGTTTTATGTGCTTCCCTGAGGGATGAATGGAGGCTTGAGATGGATATAACCCTTTTGAGATTTCCCATTATCTAACTAGGGTGGGCCATCCTCTCTCACCTAGTAAGACTAAGACTAAAGACAAGACTAAGACTATAGACTATCTACCAAGGTTAGTGATGTCACCCATGTACCCTTGCTACCATTAGATCAATATTACCTAAGCATACTATAAATAACCACTACGAAGACAACAATATGCAATGTATTAATTATTTTTTTAAATTTATTTTTATTTGTGTGTGTGTGTGTGTGTGTGTGTGTGTGTGTG